AGAGAGAGAGAGAGAGAGAGAGAGAGAGAGAGAGAGAGAGAGAGAGAGAGAGAGAGAAACCACAGGCGTCCCTAGCGACCGACACATGTTCCACAGATGTCCCTGGGGATGTGACAACGGCAGGGTGCCAGGAGTGGGGATCCGGGTGCAGGGGGAGAAATAAGTTCATGAGGGGCGAGGCACCCTGTCCAAGCACAGGACTGGGAAGTTACACCCCATGGATGTGGGACATGTCCAAAGGCACTCGACTGTCACGCACAACCGAAGAGAAGAAATTAACAGACTAGAATGGACCAGGTCATTCTATGACAGGGGTGGAGAACACAGGAGGCAGAGACTGGAGTTTAATGTCCTTGAGGTTTCGTCCACCTGCATCGTCCTCTTTGGGGCCAGCGGATTGGCCTGGAGGACCATTTTGGTGGCCCCCCCATCAGGAGGGACCCCACTGCGACACCCGCTCTCTGCTGGGGAGGCTGAGGGAGGAGGTTCAGCCTCAGCAACGTGCTGAGCAACTCAGGGAGACCCTGTCTCTGAATAAAATCCAAAATAGGGCTGGGGATGGGGGGGGGGGTCAGTGGCCCTGAGTTCAATCCCTGGTACCAAAAAAGGAAAAAAAAAATTAAAAAAAAGAAAGAAATCATGATTTCTGGTTGTGTTGGGAATGGCTCCACACAGAATGAATAATAAGCAAAAACAAAGCAAAACAAGACTTCTAAAACACGTGTTCGTATTTCCACAAGATTTAAGTCGCTGAAGGTCACTTTCCCAGTAAGAACGCCACACGTGTCTTGATCCATGATGGTGCGGACATTCACCCTGCAATATGGTTACCCCGGCACCGATGAGCTGGGCACGGTGGTGCACCCCAAGAATCCCAGCCACCTGGGAGGCTGAGGTAGGAGGATCGGGAGATCGAGGCCAACCTGGGCAACTTGGGAAGAGCCTGCCTTGAAATAATAAATAGTCTGGGGATGTAGCTCAGGGGTGCAGGGCTGGCCTGGCATCAGGGGTCGATCCCCCAGCCCTGGAGAAAGAATTAAAAAAGAAATCATTGCAGAAGGGGTCACCATGGGTGTGACTCAGGTGGGGGCGTGGCCACAGTGGGGCGTGGCTAAGGCGGGGGTGTGGTTACAGTGGGCATGATTACGATGGGCTGGTTATAAACAAGGCGTGGCCTCTAGGGGTGTGGCCATGGTGGGGGCGTGGGTATGGTTAAGGCGTAGTTACAGTGAGACCTGATTAGGATGGGGCTGTTTATAGCAGGGCGTGGCCATGGTGGGTGTGGCCATGGTGGGGGCGTGGCCTCATTGGGGCGTGGTTATGGTTAAGGTATGGTTACAGTGAGACATGATTAGGATGGGGCTGTTTATAGGAGGGCGTGGCCACTGTGGGGGCGTGGTTTATAGTTAAGGCGTGGTTACAGTGAGACATGATTAGGATGGGGCTGTTTATAGCAGGGCGTGGCCATGGTGGGTGTGGCCATGGTGGGGGCGTGGCCTCATTGGGGGCGTGATTATAGTTAAGGCATGGATACAGTGAGACCTGATTAGGATGGGGCTGTTTATAGCAGGGCGTGGCCATGGTGGGTGTGGCCATGGTGGGGCGTGGCCTCATTGGGGCGTGGTTATGGTTAAGGCATGGTTACAGTGAGACTTGATTAGGACGGGGCTGTTTATAGGAGGGCGTGGCCACTGTGGGGGCGTGGCCT